TTCAATCGGTAGACTCATAACGATTGAAAACAATGTTTTTGTTGGAGTTTGGGTTTGACCAATTCGTAAAAACAAAAAAAAAACAAAAAAAAACTAATTAAGACATGTGTGTCTGTCAACCTTAAACAATAATCTTTGTCAATTTTATTTTTCAGTCTTTATGATGGTCGATACTTGATCTATCTCTTACTGTTACATCCCCGGGCAACGCCGGGCTCTACTGCTAGTATTCACTAAGGCGTAACTACCCAGCTATGGGTTAAATAGTAGGAGCAGTATGCAGAAAGAATCATCTAAAAAAAAGGTTATCTAAAAAAAATCATTAATGAAATATTCAATCGCAAAAAAATAAAAAAGAATTATTCTTATAATCCCCTAAAATGTATAAGCTTTAAATAATTCACAAAGGGTTAAGCCGTAAAAAATCTAACCGAAATACTTATCAAACGTGCTCAACAGTATATCTCGTAGATAACCATGTCATCACTCACCATGTCGAACTGCCCAAAAACAACAAGCAACAATTTTGAAAAAATCAAAAGCCAGTCAACATTAATAATAAAATGTTTTATCTAAGATTTCGATGAACTTAGATTAATATTTTATGCTAATAATAAAAATAGAAAAGTTATTTTAACTATAAAATGGCTGCATAACCAAATAACTTAAGGTTTTGTCTTTAACCATTTGGAAAAAAGGCTTTCTAATAGTCCTAATATCTGAACTCGAAAGAAAAAGATACGAGAAGTATCCGGTATGCGGTTTGCAACATGACTGCAACGGAATCAGAAATCGATAATTAAGCAAGAATGTTTTTCAGACTGAAAATATATTTTCAATAAATTTTATAAAAATATTACCGCTGCTTCCGAATTCTTGCTGTTACGGAAACGAAGTATGAGTAACCTGGAAGGCAGAAGTTGTCACTGTTGTTGTTTCTACTGAAAAGGTTTATTTCTTCTTCGCCTCAGCAAACGTAAAGTCTAGGAAAAGGAATACATCATATTTTGGGTAAATAAATGTATAATTTATTTACATATATACAAAGCCAGTATACTACTCGTTGCTGTTGTAAAAGGCGACAGAGTGGGGAAGGAAGAAAGAAAAAGAAAGAATGTTTGTCATGGCTGTCGGCTGATGTTTTCAGTGAAGACGGTGGCGGCGAAGGATGAAAGTTGCAAAGTATCGCTTTAAGTCTCGGTCTGCCCGCAGCGTTCTTGACCAACCTCTGCGTGTCGACATCTCAACCGGGTCTCTCTCCCTCTGTCTTCTGTGGCGTTGAATCAAGGAATTTATATCCGTCGTATCGGCTCCAAATCAAAGTCAGTGTCTTTTAGCGGAAGTTATTTCTACTGGTCAATATATAAAGTTCATTTTATCATTTAATACCGAAAACATGCGTCGAGTTATGATGCACAGAGACGCGTTTTCGCATTCTGCCTTGTGTCGTCGAGCAGTCAACATCTGGTTTAGTGTAAGAAACACGACATTGCTTTTCTATCCACTACGATCTTTAAAAATTTAAATGCGACACAGATTGTTATCGTCTGCCATTTTGAATCTTGATCTTTTATTTCCCTTTCTCCTCAATAAAGTTTTCTCACTTTCCTTTACTCTTAGTAAGCCTTAATGTCTTTATTGTCTTGTTTGGAGTGAAATGTTAAAAAAACAAAAACAAAAACAAAACAAAACAATGGACAGTAAAATGATATCAGACACTTACAGTCGCTCACCATAACGATACAACCAAAACGGCTGCATTACGCTTATTATTTATTTATTTTTATTTTTTTACAGCGGAAGACAGTTTACTAAGCTGTACATTGTCTAGCACAAGGCTACAATAACAATCGAACATACTCCACCAATAAATGGTCTGTGATATGAGTTTGTTAACTCTACGACAGGCACCCAATTTTTTATATTCTGCATACGAACGAGAAGGCATACACCATTCCCTTATAAGCAGCTTACTGATTAGTTTAGGTTGTCCACAAGGCCACGAGTATGAGGCTCTCGGTGAGAATTGAACTTCACAGTATTAATTGTCAATCAAACTATCTTGCTCATCATTATGACAGCGCACCCCAGAATATTTTTTTAAAGGGAAAATTGTAATTTGGAACACAAAAACATACAGCTACTGATCGATTCAAATTATTTCCTTCATTCCAAATTTAGGAACTGGAAAGTAGTCGAATTTTGTTACTATGTTAAAATAGAAAGGGCCTACCATTAATGGCGTGCTTGTATTTAATTTTGATTGATTGTTGTCAGCCGGAAGCGACTGAAAAGCGATAAAGGAAAAAGAATGGTAAATATAAAATGGAGATGATGTAAGTTTTTCAACAGCGGCAGTCTCATTATTTTTTACTTTTTTGTTCATGTTCTAAATATTTTTTACTTAGAACAAAAAATGGGCGTGCCCAATATTGTTGACATAACCGAATAACATCTTATATTTCTCGTACTTGTTAAGATGTTATTTTGCGTGTGAAAATTTGATACAAACACGAAAGGGCGTATGTAAATAACTTGCCTACAGTTTTAACAATCTAGTAGCTGATAACTTGGAGCATCATGAAAATTTGCAAGCATTAAAGATACCAGCTGAAATGTAGAACATCTAATAAATCTCATGTAATTTTAATTATAAAAAGTGTTTTAAAGTCATATATCGTAGTGGTCGATACTCAATTAAGTAATCACACAAACTGAATATGGGTAATTTCCGCGGAGGAGAATATAGTTCCTCTCTTCAAATATTTAAATTTGACTACCACTACCATTTTTAGGAATTTGATACCCCCTTAGTAGACTGTTATCTGTATGGCTATTTTTCTTCTACTCTTTCGTGAGAGCTCATGATCGTTTCGTACTACAATGTCTTAAGCTTCTTCTTTTATGTGCCGTGTCCCTTCAGGACGTAGACAATTATGGCTCTCCACTCCTCCTATCCCTTGTAGTTCTCAATATGCTTTGTCCTTTTGCTACTTCAGCCAAACCCTGTTCTATCATCCACTTGCTTAAGTCCGTTAGCTATGTCACGCGTTGCTTTCCTTTGTATGTCTTTCCCGTTATCCGCCCTGTAAGTATCAGATTCTCCAAGCCGTCCTTTCTCATTATGTGCCATAGAAATTTCAGCTACCTCTTCCTGATGTTAAGTATAAGCTTCCACCTTGTTTGCATCCTCTCCAAAACCTCATCGTTGCTAACATGTTCAACCTATGGTATCCTTAGCATCTTTCTGTAGAACCATACCTCGAGACTCTTCTTCATAAAGGAGGATAGATATCACGTAACAGTTCAGTACTCTTTTCTTTGTTACCAACGAAATCATTCTGTCTAGTTTTTGGAATGCGTCTTAGGTCATCCCAGTACGTCTTCTGATCTTAACGTCGCACTTACCGTCCTTTGTCAGAACACTTCCCAGATATTTAAATTTTTTCCACCTGCTTGATTTTAATGTCCCCGACCTGTAAATCACATTTGGGGCTTATCCTTTTACTGATGACCATGCATTCTGTCTTCTTATAGTTTATGCTTAGTCCCTTCTTCTCACTCTCCTTTGCTACCTTCTGTAGGAGGTTTTGTAATTTCTTTTCCGTGTCTACGATCAGCACTGCATATCATCTGCATATCTTATGTTGTTAAGATTGTGGCCGCCAATGATGAATCCTAGTAGAATTTCCAGTTCTCTCAGAATTGCCTCGCTGTATAGGTTGAATAAGTCCGGTGAGAAGACACATCCTTGCCTTACGCCCCTTTTTAATTTTGTATATCTGCTGAACTCATTCCCTATCCGCATGCAGACCGTTTCCTGCCATTATAGGTTCTTATTCATTCTATCTTTCCCAAATATATCAAAGTTGCTGAGCAGTTCCAACAGATCTTTGTGGCGTATTTTGTTGAACGTCTTTACGTAATCTATAAAACATAGGTGGACGTCCTCCTGAAATCTACAACAGTAGTGATATACTGGAAGATCTCAGTAGATCTATTTTCATAGCACTGTCTAAGAAACCAGGCGCAAACGAATGTAAACTCCAACGAACAATCAGCCTAATGAGCCACACAACAAACTTCATCATTCGTATTCTGATGAATAGAGGGCGCAGCAGAATCAGGCCACAGATAGGACAAGAACAGTGTGGGTTCGTTAAAGACAGCGGAACAAGCAACGCGATATTCAGGCTCAGAATATTATCAGAAAGAGCAATACAAATGATCAGAAAGAGCAATACAAATGATCAGAAAGAGCAATACAAATGATCAGAAAGAGCAATACAAATGCAGAAGGACGTCTTAAGCGAGTCATCACTAATTATAATTTCTTTGGTTGGCCCATTGAGACTAATGTGGATGTTGCTTATCATTTAGCTCCATGGTTTTAGTGGGATCATTTTGCGTGCCATAATATGAATAAGGAGGCTCTGATAAATGATGTGTCCTTGATCTTGGTCATGATCATTAGAAGTCTTAAGAAAATATTCTTCTCCTTGACTTTCATCTATACGCAAGTTTCCATCTGGCTTTTGTAAAACAACAGTTGATGATGTACCAGAATGTGACAAATGATCTGAGACCTCATTCCATCATTTCTCGCGGTTATATAACTGTTAATGAGGTGGTAAATTCCGCGACTGATAATATGACACGTTAACATTTCCTTTCAATTTGAAACTGTCTTTGGCTTTTGGATTCAACATTCAGAATGTGAATTTGCAGCATTACTCAATTTCGCAGAACTTACATTTATTACGTCATATCCAACTAAATCACGTTACTTTTCTTTTTTACAATTGGCAACTATAACAGATAAACCCTTATCCTTTACTGATTATCGGTGCTTCTGCTTCCGTGTACCAATATAGTCAAGCTAGAAAGAACTCTGTTTCGACTCGTTTGGGAGCCACAGGGCTCCAAAGGTGCGTCACGAGATTTGCATTCTTCTGAGTGCGGTCTTGAAATGCCGAGCATATACATGTCTTGCCATAAGACTATAATGATGGCAACGTCTGGAATGAAGATGCAGGAAAGACAATAATGACTGGAAATTCTGGAAGGAAGATGCTGAGAAGACTATAATGACGGCCAATTCTGGAAGGATAATGCTGGAAGACTATAATGACAGCAACTTCTGGAAGGAAGAGGCTGGAAAGAATATAATGACGGTAATTTCTGGAATAAAGATGCTGAGAAGACTATAATTACGGTAACTTCTGGAAGGAAGATGCTGCGATGACTATAATGACGGCAAATTCTGGAAGGATAATGCTAGGAAGACTATAATGACGGCAACTTGTGGAAGGAAGAGGCTGGGAAGACTATAATGACGTCAACTTCTGAAAAGAAGTGGCTGGAAAGACTATAATGACGTCAACTTCTGAAAAGAAGAGGCTGGAAAGACTATAATGACGTCAACTTCTGAAAAGAAGAGGCTGGAAAGACTATAATGACGTCAACTTCTGGAAGGAAGAGGCTGGAAAGAATATAATGACGGTAATTTCTGGAATAAAGATGCTGAGAAGACTATAACTACGGTAACTTCTGGAAGGAAGATGCTGCGATGACTATAATGACGGCAAATTCTGGAAGGATAATGCTAGGAAGACTATAATGACGGCAACTTGTGGAAGGAAGAGGCTGGAAAGAATATAATGACGGTAATTTCTGGAATAAAGATGCTGAGAAGACTATAATTACGGTAACTTCTGGAAGGAAGATGCTGCGATGACTATAATGACGGCAAATTCTGGAAGGATAATGCTAGGAAGACTATAATGACGGCAACTTGTGGAAGGAAGAGGCTGGGAAGACTATAATGACGTCAACTTCTGAAAAGAAGTGGCTGGAAAGACTATAATGACGTCAACTTCTGGAATGAAGAGGCTGGGAAGACTATAATGACGTCAACTTCTGGAAGGAAGAGGCTGGAAAGACTATAATGACGTCAACTTCTGGAAGGAAGAGGCTGGGAAGACTATAATGACGTCAACTTCTGGAAGGAAGAGGCTGGAAAGACTATAATGACGTCAACTTCTGGAATGAAGAGGCTGGAAAGACTATAATGACGTCAACTTCTGGAATGAAGAGGCTGGGAAGACTATAATGACGTCAACTTCTGGAAGGAAGAGGCTGGGAAGACTATAATGACGTCAACTTCTGGAAGGAAGAGGCTGGGAAGACTATAATGACGTCAACTTCTGGAAGGAAGAGGCTGGAAAAACTATAATGACGTCAACTTCTGGAAGGAAGAGGGTGGGAAGACTATAATGACGTCAACTTCTGGAATGAAGAGGCTGGGAAGACTATAATGACGGCAACTTGTGGAAGGAAGACGCTGGAAAAACTATAATGACGTCAACTTCTGAAAGGAAGAGTCTGGGAAGACTATAATGACGTCAACTTCTGAAAGGAAGAGTCTGGGAAGACTATAATGACGTCAACTTCTGAAAGGAAGAGTCTGGGAAGACTATAATGACGTCAACTTCTGGAATGAAGAGGCTGGAAAAACTATAATGACGTCAACTTTTGGAAGGAAGAGGCTGGGAAGACTATAATGACGTCAACTTCTGGAAGGAAGAGGCTGGGAAGACTATAATGACGTCAACTTGTGGAAGGAAGACGCTGGAAAAACTATAATGACGTCAACTTCTGAAAGGAAGAGTCTGGGAAGACTATAATGACGTCAACTTCTGAAAGGAAGAGGCTGGAAAAACTATAATGACGTCAACTTCTGGAATGAAGAGGCTGGGAATACTATAATGACGTCAACTTCTGGAAGGAAGAGGCTGGGAAGACTATAATGACGTCAACTTCTGGAATGTAGAGGCTGGGAAGACTATAATGACGTCAACTTCTGGAAGGAAGAGGCTGGAAAAACTATAATGACGTCAACTTCTAGAATGAAGAGGCTGGGAAGACTATAATGACGTCAACTTCTGGAAGGAAGAGGCTGGAAAAACTATAATGACGTCAACTTCTGGAAGGAAGAGGCTGGGAAGACTATAATGACGTCAACTTCTGGAATGAAGAGGCTGGGAAGACTATAATGACGGCAACTTGTGGAAGGAAGATGTTGGGAAGACTATAATGACGACAAATTCTGGAAGGATAATGCTGGGAAGACCATAATGACGTCAACTTCTGGATGGAAGATGCTGTAAAGACTTTTCCTGACTTGAGAAACTTACTCTTGTATATCGGAAAATGTCTTCGTTGTCTTCTTCAAACGCGAATACTGACACACAGTGAGAATAGCGTGACGACTGTCCACTCTGAACGTTGTCGTGTAAGGTATTACAATGTATATTAGAGATGGGGTTGTGCGAAACGATCTGATCAATATACTTGGCCTGATGAAGGATGTGTATCGCTTGTTATCGCTTGTTATCGCTTTGGGTGCCCTTTTTGAAACGGCTTACTAATGATGAGGCATCACTCATTTGGTTGGTGATTCAAAATGCGTTCTCAGTTGGCAAAAAAAAAAAAACTTTCATAACGAGGCTGGTAATTTGGTCAGAGTGCATCTGTTTCCGCGGTCGTATGATACGTGAAAATATTTAAAATTACATGGTTCACATGCTTCAAGGATGTTTCTTTATTCTAGATAACTGTTCCATTTGTGGTAAAATGATTCCGTCACTAGAAGATGAAACATGTGTTTCTGTGTTTTGCTGGATGTGATTTAAACGGTGGTATGGACGACACAGGAAGTTCACAGGAAGAAAGTTACCCCCTTCACCCCATCATCTGGTTACGTTCTTCAACATCAAATTCTGGGCGGATACAGAGATGCGGAAAGTGAATTAATGTGGCTCGACTGGTGCGAATTCATGGGGCTGATTTTGAGTTGCATTTTGGAACTGACTGATTGAAGAATATTCTCTCCTAAGAACGACATATTCACCCAGCTCTGTAGGTTAGAATAGATGTGATTTTGTTTTAGTTTCAGCGCCACTCCAACTTAGCTAAGGAATAAATCATTAAACCATTTTTTTAGTGCCATATAGTTTAATATTCTTCCTCCCGCCACGTTAGGTGACAGAAGGGATTTTATTTTATGTATTTATGCATTTATTTTTTAATTTTTGATTACATGTTCCCACATTTATTCTTCAAGAGTAGATGGTGGACAGGTTCCCATACCAATTGATACTTGTTGTACATTAAAATCTCGCAAATCATTTTCATTTCATTATGGGGTCATTGAATATAATTAGCTAAGTTTAAAGTTAAGATAAAGAAGACTAGCAATTGTCTTTCAAACATTCAACCAATTTTTGCCTTGTGCCATATATTGTATATTTTTAGAATTAAATATTACTTTCTGTGCGATTCGTGTGTGGATTGTAAATTTTAAATGTTTTTACGTTAAGTCAGAATGAAGGAAAAGAATATGGATTTTCGTCATTTCATGCTGTTTTATTTTCGAAAAAAAAAAACCCAACAAAACAAATAAAAACAAAACGCTGTACAAACAGCAAATGGAGATGGCACATAGCTGAGAATACTGTTCGTAAGTAGTTCGTTGGGTTCAGAAGTGAAAAAATTGAACTGGGAGATTAAGAATGCCACAGCAAGCCTGTAGTCGTTAATGATAACCATATCGAAACACTGATTAAAAAATAATCCAAGTCACACGACACAGGATATCCTAGAGATACTCCGCATATGTCATATGAATGTTGTAAGACATTTGAAAACGTGAATCACTACGATGTCTGAATGCCTCATTATTTAACGAAAAAAATCACATTTCCATTTACGATTCTCTGCGCAAGCGCAACAAAACGACCCATTTATTTTAAAAGAACGATCACAGACGATAAAGAATGAATTGTTTGCAACAATTTAATGCGAAAATAGTCTCATGGAAAACGAAATGACCCTCTGTTAAGCACTCCAAAAGCTTGTTTGCATCTGAAGAAGGTGTTTTTGATAGATTTTAATATGATTTTGTATTATGAGCTCTTTCCGCAAAACCAGACAGTTCAGAGTTGAGCCGATTAAAGGCAGTAATGGATTAAAAGCGTCCTGAATTGGTCAATCGAAAGAATGTCGTCTTGCATCAGGACAATGCTAGACATCATGTCTCTTTGCAGATCTGGTAGAAATTGTACAACTTGGCTGGGATATCTTCTATGATCTTACACCTTATGATTACCACTTATTTCGATACCTACAAAATTCTCTTAATTGGAAGAACGTCAATTCTCTGGAAGTTTATAAAAAAAACACTTAGACCAGTTCAGTGGCGTAGCTAGAGTAAACGTCACCCGAGGCGGTCCGCCCCCCCCCTTAGCTAGGCCACTGGACCAGTTCATCACACAGAAAGGTGTCAAATTCTTGATGAATGGTTTCATGTAGCTGCTTCAAAAATGGCGAAAGATGTTGGAACAAAATGTGATTGAATAATCTATGTACAAATATCTGAATATTGCCTGGAATTCACTTAAAACACCACAGAGCTTTCTTCTGCCCCAATATTTTAGGCCGTGGCTACTTTAGGGGAAGAAAGTGTTTACGGAAGTAAAAATAACGACTTAAAGAATGCAAATTAATCTCCAATTCGCATTCCTCAATTTCGCCTTTTTCTACAATTTTGACTGATTTGCATTCTTTATTTCCGCATTTTTCATTATTGTGTTAAGTATTTGCAATCCTAAAATCTTTATTTTCTGCCATCAAATGAATAACGAGAGTAAAAACTGTTCATATAATTTGTCTTTATTTGTAGATGTTACCTTTTTATCTTCATTTTTCATAGTATTTCCTCAAGATATGCAATTTCACAAACAACCTCTTCGCGTTCGCGCGGTCTTGATTTCCTTCTTGCAGTCCAAATACATTCGTGATTATGATCTCACGCACGGATCAAGCGCTTGCAAATTTTTCCACATATGAAACTCTTAAATTTTCTTTCATAAAATATTCCAGACAACAAGAGATCTGCGATCGTGTAATTTTAACTTTTCATACTTTTGTGGTTATTTTCCCACATAGCGATCACGCACTTGAAAATTTCTTTCATGCATAAGTTATAACGATTTTTTGTCCCACTGCAGTTTCTAAAAAGAAGGGGCCTGCGACATTTTTTTAGTCAAAACACTTCTGCAGTTATTTTCCCACAAAGGGGTTTCACATTTTTAAAGCTACCCCCACATTGCCACATTTCCTTCATATTATCTACAGCCACCTTATTGTGTGTGAAAGTTGTTTACACTAAATGAACTGTACTACACGTAACGACTAAAAATGTTTTCATGTCATAAAGAAGATTCTTTTCATATTTTATTATTTGGTTGTCTGTTGTCGTTTAACTCTTGGCCCTTCCGGCAAAGTTTTTTTTTAAAAGCTGGCTGATTTCCAATTTGGCTGTTTAATGATTTTTTTTAGACTGGGACATGCGTGTTTCTTAAATAATTTCTTCATATGGTAACACTAGGCAAAGAGCATATACAAATATGTGATATGCGAAATCGAGATATGCGAAATCAAGTTTCCTGAAAAGATTCAATATTATTCATTCGTATTCTTTCATTTTGCATTTTCGAAAGAAAAGCCATCATTAACATTATTTAGTTCCACAATTTCAGCAAATTTCGAGGCTTTAATTCCGCATTTTTTTCTTTTGGGCTATTTTGTTCACTTAAGGTACGATAAATGTTATTATTTCTATGATAATTTTATATAAAAATCTTTGAAAGCTGAAGAAGAGAAAAAAGGGGCTGCCTTTAGACAGATTTCTTTGCAGAAATATAAGATAAATCTGATGAAACTGATCTATAAAATTCTGTAGAAAATAATAAAAAAAAATCCAGTGTCAATGAAGACAGTGACACTGAAGAAGTTTTACCAGTTGAATAAAACTGTAAAGGCACTTCTAGTGATACAAATTCTACAGAAGATCCTTCCACTGCTAACTTTACCAATGGGTCTTCAGAATTAAATGATTTTGAAACCTGGTCAGAAGTAATAAGTCATACCATGAGTGATTATTTGGTAAAAAAGGACTGCCAAAACTTTATTAGAGAAGATTTCCCTAAAAATGAGTAGAACACGCTTTTTAAGAGACAGCTCCCAAATGTAGTCATAGACTGACCATTACTATTATATTCAGTCTCAAGTGACAAAATTTTTTGTTACTATTGTAAAAGTTTTGACTAATACTACAGCTGAACTTGCAACTCTTCTGGTTTTAATAACTAGTCAAACATCCGTATAAGACTGACTGATTATGGGAGATGAAAATGTTATTTGCAAGTAATACTGAACTTTTGTGAACTGCAGGAGAGATTGTCTGTTGAAAAGACTATTGATGAATTACAGGAAAAAAGATAAGAAATGAAGTATACCATTAGTATCAAGTGTATGAGTGATTTGTGGCCACCATACAGGTGTTGGCAGAAAGAAATTTGATATTCCGTGGGTCTGATTAGCACACCACATAATGTTACTTTTTAGGTGTCATCTAGTTACTTGGAATGCTCGATCCGATAATACAAAAAGTTCAAAACAAAGGAGTACATGATCATTATTTGAGGAAAAACATCCAAGATGAACTGATTGATATAATGGAAAGGCTGCTCAGAAATAAATTATTTCTAGAATCATGTCTGCCAAGTAATACGTCATGATTCTTGACTGCATGTTTGACATCAGCCACTACGAGCAAATGTCATTGGTTATCAGATATATAGCTGATGGTACAAATTCAAACATTGCAACGAATAGACACCATGTTTTTTTCATTCACAAATAGATGGGCAATTTTCAGAAATTAAGTTACTGATTTATATGTAAAACTGCTCTCAGAAACAATGTGGGGATATCGAATAGACATCAAGTACCAAGGCACTGAATTATGTGTTACTCTTGAAGATCTGGCTGCCACTACTGAGCATATCCTTGCTAAAAGTAATGCTCAGTCTTCGTTGAATGAAATGAGAAATTATAAGTTCCTCATGACTCTAGTATTCTCGCACTTATTGCACTTTCAGGTAAATTTCATGAGCAAGGAGGTTCAAAATGAAACAACAGATGTAACAACAGCTCTGAAGGCATTTGAAAAGTTCTTCAACTGGTCAACAACATTCAAAGAAAAGGGGCTTTGAGGAATGATTGGTTGATACCAGGGAATTTGCTGAATACTTAAATGTTGAAGGTTTCCAAAGTGAAAACAGGCTTATACGTAAGAAGAGGCGATTGGCTGATTATAAAGAAACTGATAAATCTCTGTTAGACTCAAAAGAAACATTTAAAGTGCAATGCTTTAATCAGGTGGTGGATAAAGCCTTGCAAATCCTAAAGCTTCAATTTGAACAGCTGAGAAAACAATATAAGCTGTTTGGGTTCTTGTGCAATTCTCAAGTTATGCCCAAAGAAACCATAAAAAAATGTGTTGCAGATTTCGAAAGGATGTTAACTTATTCCAAATTAGTTTATGCAATAGAAAGAGTCATAACAACAAAAATGGCTGATATTGATGAGGAAATTGAAGTAATTGAGTCAATTATCCCTTCACAGTTGTTATAAAATCCTGTGAAAATACTGGAGTTTTTGCTCGCAACAATAGATCTACAGCATTTCCAAATTACTTTATTGCATCTAGAGAAAAGACATTTTTTAAGCTCAAACTTATTGTTATGGTCCAGGTTAGGACCAAGGAAGAATAACACAAACACAAGAATAGAAATAACGAAGGTATATTACACGAAATAATAATACAAGACGTGGAAGGTGTTAGTATGACTGTCAGTCTGGTTTGGAGTGAACTACTATCGGCTCGACTCGATTCGACCCTCTCTCTTGAGAGGCGTTGTATACTTAGTGTTAGGAAGAGTTCATTCTGTAGTTATAGGTAAGGACCCATGACACTTATGAAAACTTTCCTGAGGTCAAAACGCCTAAACAGTTTGGGTATCATTTCAATAGAGTATGAAGTGGATAGTTGATATTATTGAATACAAAATTAGAAGATTTCTGTATAGCTATCTCATGTTATACATACTGACATGATATTTGTTTATATAAGATATATTTGATTAATAAACTATACAGTTTTAAAATACACATTCCTTAATCCTTGGATTATCATCATAAACACAAAGTTTTAGGGGCCCGCCCTATTATATGCAATTGTGTTTGTTGCATGCGTGAGAGAGAGAAAGGATAAATGTTTATCTCTATATATGTTCGTTTGCATGTTTAAACAAATGCGTCTGTCTGTAAAGCAGAACTTTTCTCATGAAATTGTAAATGTGAAATTGAAACATTTTTCACACGGCCGAATTTCTTTCTATGGAAACATTTAAAGAATTTTAAGGGTGAAATTAGTCTCATGCTCAACGAAACAGAGCTGTTAAGATGGAAACGATTATGTTTTTCCTTCAAGAAGAAAAAGATACTGGTGAGAACAATTATCAAGATGTGTTTGAAGAGACATCACGAGTAAAATAAGGCATTTGTCATTGATTTTATCTTTTGAAATGATTATTATACTGACTCTCAACCCAAATTCAACCAGAATCTAACACATGGTCAATTTAACATGGAGGTTCATATGAGTGTGTGTCTATAGCAAACATTGTCAAATCAAATTGATCGATAGTCTTGCTGATGAATGAACTGTAATCTTTCAGAAATCTTGTACCAGACTATTAAAAAAATCATTCCACTCCAAACAAGGCAATAAACCTATTAAGATACAAAGGGTTACTACATGAGTATGGTTTTTAACAGAATCAGAATTTGGGAGCAAAAGAAATCATATATGTCTATTTTTACGCTATCTTCCAATTTATCTTCTACTAGCAGTAGAGCCCGGCGCTGCCCGGGGATGTAATAGTAAGTGATAGATCAAGTATCAACCATAATAAAGACTGAAAAATAAAATTGACAAAGATTATTGTTTAAGGTTGACGGATACGCATGTCTAAATTAGTTTTTTTTTTGTTTTTTACGTATTAAATTTTTGTTTTTGTTTTGTTTTGTTTTTTTTGGGGGGGGTTACGAATTGGTCAAACCCAAACTCAAACAAAAACATTGTTTTCAATCGTTATGAGTCTACCGATTGAATAGAATTTTATTATAAACAATTGTCTTGTAAATGGAATTTTAAAGCATTCTGAATGTAAAAATAAAGAAAAAAAAGTGTGCAAGGCAATAAGAAACACTACCTGCAAAAAAAAAAGTGAAGTTTTGTTGAAATCGGTTGAAAAATGTAGGAAATCCGATCCCATATATAAACACAAACACACACACACACACACACACACACACACACACACACACACAACCTGGGTTTTATAAGTATAACCCGATATGAGTTATCCCCTTTCATTTTCGCGATGCCTCTTAATCGTGTTTTCAAACTGATTTTGTGCAAAAACAATTGCGTTTTTCCAATTTTGGGCGCTGTCAGAACCACCGCAAGGTAATTTTACGTAGTCCTTTGAAGTTTTGTTGAAATCAGTTGAAAAATGCAGGAAATCCGATCCAATATATAAACGTACAGACACACACACACACAACCTGGGTTTTATAATAAGTATGATTATAGGAGGTAATTTTTAAAGTGATTTTTACTTGTAAAAATCATGGTCATGGAGTTCTGAATAGAGAAAAGTCCGTGCAGAGCCAAATTAATTATCTATATGAGTTGAATTATCATTATAATTCTTTTAGAATTAGTAATTGAACTCCAAAATTTTAGTTCTCAATTTGCACTCTGCCATTGCTACTGTTGTTATAATGCGTTGTATAGAATTTATTAATAAACGGACACAGACACACCTCAAGATAGAGTATTATATTGATCCGGACTTCAACTTAATTAAATTGATGCACAAGGTGCGGCAGAAATTCATCTTACCTATACCTCCCAGAAATACCCCCCCAAAAAAAATGTTAAGACATTAGGTAGATGAAGGTACCATTGTCAGTAATATCTTACCATTATCTGGGAGGTATATGTGGGAGGTATTTCTACCGCATCCTGTATAATAAGGCCTTATTCCTATGCATATCCGGTATTTTTCAACAATGTTCTTTTCCACCAGTCAAGAGCAGTTCATAAAAGAGACCTTCAAATAGAACATGATTGACAATAACCAATAGACAAATTTTGGTAAGATAAAACTCCTTTACAGTAGGATTTTATAAGTATGTAGCAGTTGTGTAGTACTTTTGGACAAGTTGACAAATTAACAGGTGAATGTTTTCTTTTCACAAGACAAATAAGCGCTTACCAACTTTTAAAACAGAAACAATTCCGCTATTAGGCTTCTTGATAGGCGTAAGATAGTTTAGTATTCCAAGTGGTTTCATTTCGCTCAAACTTCGTGGGTGTAAGGCAGTCCAACAAATATGGCTTCATTCCTACGTATTTTCTTGGTGATGACCATTGAAAAAAGGGATAAAGTTCTGATGGTGGTATTAACTACTTCGTACTGAGGCACGAAAACAAATGAAAACAACAAAGTACTGTCGGTGGGACAGAAAGAAAGAAAACAAGATATATTAAATTAAAGTTCTTTGAATTGCCGATATAAAGTCGGAAGGTCTCTTTGTGGGCGAGTGAAAAGACCTGGAGGATGTGGGAGTCGATAGGACTTGGCGTTTTTGCTTGTGTTGGATCGTCTGACAGCTTACCTACTCGCCAGCAAGTGCTTTGAGTTCGTGAGCGGCGTCCTTTTAAGAAGTCAGGGTGGATATACGACTCGGCGTTTGTTTTATTATGCTTTTGCTTTAACTGGTAACGTTCGTGATTGGCTTCTTGGGGTGGGGGTTGTTTTGTGAACCGGATATGATGCTCGGAACGCAGAGAGTAACTAAAGTAAAAAAAATTGATTTGATAGCATTCACGCCCGGGCGACAGGAATTTATGTGGAGTGGATTAGAAAGAGGACTAATTTGAAGTAGAGTAAAACAGCACGAATCCGGAATTGTCATGAGATACTCTAGAAGGGTAGTGATTTGTCGATGCTATCCAATCAACATCTTTGTTCCATGGAAGTCTTTTTTTTTAATTTTTGTTATACCAGAAAGCTAACCATGGTAAAACATTAAATCTATAGCTTAATGATGAAAAAAAAAAAATTATTTTACCCAATTTATTTTTCAACGTTAGTTCTTTTCTTGTCAATAATTAATCAAATCTTTTCAGTGGCAATATTTTTCGTTCTTTGCATAAAGATGCCTCGATGATAGTAAATAAGTGAGACGTAAATAGTAACACAGCAAAAAAAAAAAAAACCCTAAAAAACACCCAAGCAAGCTAAAGCTGTTCATTCAAAGACAAGTATTAACCTGAAGAAGAAGAAATTTTATCGTCTTTAAAATCCTGTACGTGACTCTTAAGCGTATCCTGATAACCGATTACGATTTCATTAGAACGATTGCACCTGTTCTCTTCTCTTTAGTGACAATGGAATCTTTCAAACTGTTTCGATAAAACAATGCGTACACTGGTTCTGAATGCACCAAGGAAAAAAGTGTGTGTGAGAAAGTAATTTAGGATAACTTACTGGGAATTAGGCTAATCTACTAAGATATTTTACGAGTAACTCTTTATCTTTCTTTCGTTTTTTCGATTTAGAAAAATAAAGAATACACTCCATAACCTTTATACACAAATATTTTATTCAGGGCAAACCAATAGAACCTTTCGAAGAGTGTAAAATTACTTTGTCTTTGTGATCAAGTTGAACTAGAGGCTTTTCAAGGAAACAAAACGAAAAAGAAGAAAAATATGATGCTCTCTCTCTCTCTCTCTCTCGACTTTTATTTTTTTACATTACATTTTGGATACTGTTAAAGTTTCTGTATTTTACAAGTTCACCTATCATTTTTGTTTCGAATTGATCTTTTGAATTGGTTCGTGCACAATATGGCATTAACTTATTTTACAAATACAGACGGATCTGATTGATTCGTAAGTGTCTGAGTAACCTTATTTAGAGATGACATTAGTCACCAAAGGTAATTGCGGAGGTTCTAGAAGTAAACATTGCCTTGCTCCAGCTATATATCTAACTACTACAACTAGCGGGTGTTCATTTTGATGTTCAAAACACGCAGACAAACATAATCTACTGGAGAGTAAGCGAAATTGATGTGCTGCAATGTAAATCTTATGGATGATAGGTGCTCAGCCAAGAAGCAAGCGGCTGCAGTTAAGTCAATTGAATTGATACTATATTGACATTGCTGTACTTCCACTCGCTTGGAAGAGGTTGGTCAGAAGGAAGAAATTGG